AACCCAGCCTTCTGGGGTCACTGTGAGAACAGAACGAGACGGTGCTCATAAAGCTCTCAGCCTGGTCTCTGGGACATGGCAAAATGGAATTTGGTATTTCCTACCCTCTTTGGGGTCCTCCATTCTCATTAATTGAAGAAAACCATGGACCTTCCACCAGGATTTCCCATCACAGACACACATATGCTCATTGCACACACACGTGCACGCATTGTACACATTTCACACACCTGCACAGATGTATCACACGCATACATGTAATTTGCATGTGTGTTGTGTGTGCATACATCACATATACGATTACACATCAGACACATGTGCACACACATGTGCACACACATATGCACACCCACAACTTCGCATCCAATTTCTAGGCTCCGGCAGCTCCAAAGCCAGGTGGAGAGCACCTTTCGAACATGAAAGTCCCTTCCAGCTCTAAAAACTCCCAGGCTATGCGAACAAATTGCTGAGTCTCCATCTCCTTCCCTCCCTGCCCAGGATCAGGCATCTCAGAAAATCCTTCCCGACACTCAGGGCCAAGCTCAGAGACGGGGCTCTGGAAAAATCCTTGTGTGTGGAGGGCAGGCCCAGGGCAAGAGCGACAGGATGGATTCTGTGAGCTCATCCCGGCAGCCGTCACCAGATTCCCAGAGAGGCCGGTGGCGTCAGGAGGGGTGACTGGGTGGGAGCCCGCGGTGGCGGCAGCAAGGGGTGTGGGGCAGGAGAGGGAGGCTGGATGGAACGCGCTATAATAGCAGCTTTGTGCTCCGCTTCCCAGCTCCCTGGGAACGCCAGGGAGATTATGAAACCCGGTGTCTTTGGGAATGCCAGGATATTAGCTGGAAAAAGAATAATACGAAAATAAAATAATGCTCACGATGGAGACAGCAGACGATTAGCAGACGGAGCCAGGGCCTCCTGCTCCGTGGAGGGAGCCAGGCTTGGCCCCAGCGGAAGGTTTCAGGGAAAGGCTGCCTGTGCTAATGAGCAGACAGAGCCTGCCTTCCAGCGAGACGTCTTCAGGAGGGGAGCTGGCAAGCGAGGCCCAGCTTGCCGGGGAACACGTGGGCCTGGAGAGGGGTGCTACTAGGCAAGGGGGCGTCACAGGCCTGGTCCTTGGGCCCAGACACCCAGAAATGTCAGATTACCAGGAGGGCCACCTGGCCACCACCCGCACGCCGTCTTTCCCTAAACTCCTTCAAGCTCAATGTCCTCCTCCAAAAAGTCACCCTGGAATGACTCTTATTTGGCACCTCTGCACTTCAAAGGCGCAAATTCTACTGGGTTTATGCACATTCACATGTGAAGGTCTCTCTTCCTAATCCAGCAGTTCTCAACCTGTGGGTCGCGACCCCTTTGGCGGTCAAACGACCCTTTCACAGGGTTCGCCTAAGACCATCCTGCATATCAGATATTTACATTACGATTTATAACAGTAGCAACATTACAGTTATGAAGTAGCAACGAAAATAATTTTATGTTTGGGTCACAACATGAGGAACTGTATTTAAAGGGCCAGAAGGTTGAGAACCACTGTCCTAATCAGACAGGCATTCCCATGGGTCAGGCCTCCACCACCCAATTGAGGGATCATTTGAAGTAAAGAACACATTTCTCCCTCCAACGAGCAGGGAGAACATGTCATCGTTCCCTGCCTCCCTGTCCAGGACCCTGGCCACACACCTTCAGCCAAGAATGGACACACCCTGCCTCTCTCAGGGTACCCGGGGGAGCGGGGGAGGGCAATGTGACCACCTCCCTCACCTTCATGATGCTCTGTGCACGTTACATCCTCGATACCCAAAGGTGGTCCTTGGACCAGCGGCATCGCATCACCTGGAAGCTGGTTAGAAATGGAGGCTCTCGGGCCCCACCCAGGCACTGAATGCAGAGGGTGCGTTTTAACAAGACCCCCGGATGGCTCCTATGTTCCTAAGGGCTGAGAAGCACTTCTTTGCATGCGTCGTGTCCTTAATCCTTACAGCACCCCTAGGATGCAGTATTTTAACAAGACCCCCGGATGGCTCCTATGTTCCTGAGGCCTAGAAGCACTTCTTTGCATGCATCGTGTCCTTAATCCTTACAGCACCCCTAGGATGCAGTGACTTTCCTGACGAGGTAACAGAGTCACTAAAGAGACGAAGGACTGGCCCATAGCTAGGAAGCAGAGGAAGCAGAATTGGAACGAAACCTTCACCATGACCCACCACACTCCTGCCCGGTGCATCCGCAGGCATCGGTGGCCAGTAGGCAAAGACCAGTGCCCGGGAGAGTAGCTGGGTCCTGGCACCCAGGAAACCAACCCGTCTGCCTGCAGGTTGGACCTTTGCCCTGTGCCTGGCCGGGCATCAGTACATCCCAGGATGAAGAACAGCAGGCTCAGGGATAGGAGCCCAGGCTGGCCTTGGTCTTAGCAGGAAGTATGTACTAGTAAAGATGACCATGGAAGGAGAGTGTGTGTGTGCATGTGTGTACACGTGTATGTGTGTGTATGTTTGCTTGTGTATTGGTGCAGATGGAGGTTCTATTCGCTGAAGTAGAGTGGTCAGACAGCTCCTGTCAAATGGGCCAATGGCCCTGTCCCGATGCCGGCCACACGTAAACACTATCCATCCCGTCCGCCTGGTTCTTTCTCTAAGTCAGACTCAGACAGCTTTCCTGGGATTGCTCATCTTCCCGCAGCCCCAGAGCCCGTCCACGCTTCCATCCATGCACTTTCGCGCGCCTCTGGCCTGTGCACTCTCTCCTCCGGCCCAACACCTCACAGCTGACGCTCAGCCCCCGTGCCCCCCGGCCTCCCTGCCCTGGGCCGCCTGGCAGGCGGCCGCCACATCCGCCTTTCCCACACAGCAGTTCACCGTGTGTGTCAGACTTGCCAGGGCCAGCCGTGAACTCATCGCTGCCCCGGGTCCACCCCGCCCGTGGCCTGGCGATGGGAATCGCCCCATTGTGCACCCAGCAGGGCCTCTGAGCCCATTTGACCCTTTCCTCCCCAGGCCCTGCCACTCCACTTCCACTCTGGTCCACAGCTCCCATCCCACATGGCCACGGTGTCCTGTCCTAACCCAGATTCCTGATGGTCTCCTGACGGGAGGCTCTCCCTCCAACCAGCCTCCACAGCTCCTTCATTACTGGTCCTGAAGCCCAGCTCTGACCAGCACATTTCACTTAGCCGCCCACTCCGGCTCCTGCTGCTCACTGAATAGGGTCCGTGGTCATCATCTGTAGCTCTTTGCCCAGCACTCTTTGGGGTTTTCTTTTCCTCTCCCCCACCTGGTGATGCTGTCAACCACAGAAAAAGCGCCTGGCCCCGGACGGCCAATCAGAACACGCTGTTCCTCGCCCAGGCTCCCACACGGGACGGCTACTGGCGCTACTAAGAGAGTGGCATTCTCCTCTCCTCGCGGCCTCCAGTGTGAGCAAAACAGAGGATGCCGGGAGGGCCGAGCTATTCTATCCAGCAGGGCTTTGCTGGTTATAAAGATGACGTCAGCCTTTTGTCACAGGTGCCATCTTTGCTCTCACATGGACGGAGCCGGTGTGAGAACGAGACCAGACAGGAGACCACGTTAGAAACATAGTCCTGGGACACTGCGTGGACCCATTTCCCGCCAAACTAATGCCTCATTCATCTCTTGGGCTCTGCCTAGCCATCTGAGCCCTGAAACTCTTCTTCTCCCTTTAGGCATTTGAGGTGCGTTTCCACTGAAGAAAACAAGTCCTGGATCCTTAGGTGCCTGCCCAGCCGCCTCGGCCTGGCCCTGACTGTTAGGTCTGCCACAGTCTTTATGCCCCGAACCCCCAGCTGGAGCCACACGACCACAGCCAGGCCCTGCCCTGTGCCTTTCAGACAAGACAGTGGGAGTCACAGAACTGTCCCCTGTACTCCCCAGCCCCACCCCATTCTACCCCGCTGCCCTGCCCCACTCTACTCCCCCAGCCCTTGTAGCTGCGCTGCCCCACAAATGGGTACCCAGCCTTGGCCCAGGGTTAAGACTCAAGCTCCTCACCCCAACCAAATACTCACTCGCACACGTGCACACGCACAGCTGGCTGCACATGAACCCGCTCAGATTCCATCAGCCAGCACAGCTGGTAGGGCCTGCTCCCAGGGTCACAACCCAAAGCCCCCCAGCTCAGGGGGCGGGCAGTTGTGGCTGGATTTTGGAGGGGGGGTGTCTCATCCTGGACATCTCACTCCATCTCCAGGAACCCCCAGGCCAACAGAGCAGGGAACAGGACATATCCTAGCCCTGAATGTCCCCACTCAGATATCCTGGCAGGGCCTGCTCATCTCTTTGGGGGAACACATCATGCAGACCCTGGATAACCTTGAGCTGACCCCCCGTTCCACTGGCTCCAGAAAGTGTGCACTGGGCAGGACAGCCGGGCTGGGGCTCAGTTTTGGAGGCACATCTCTCCCAAAATTCCTAGGGACACAATGGCCTGTCCCAGGACACTCAGATCCAACCAAGGAATCCTGGGGTCATTAGACCTCTCTGGCTACGCCCATGGGCTAGGCCCGTGGTCAGCAAACCGCGGCTCACGAGCCACATGCGGCTCTTTGGCCCCTTGAGTGTGGCTCTTCCACAAAATACCACGTGCGGGCGCGCACGCACAGTGCGATTGATCTGGGGTCATTAGACCTCTCTGGCTGGATCACTGGGCTAGGCCAAAGCCTCCCCAGCACAGCCCATGCCAGCCTCTTCAAGAAGAACGGGTCCCTCGGCTCCAGGCACAAGGCAGACCATCTTGACTATGCACAGAAGCAGCAGGTCTTCTGGTGCCAGAACAGGAGCAGTTTCATGGTAGGAAGACACTGAGACTTGTGTCCACTTTCTCCACATGCAGCCCCAGAGGACCCAAAGCCACAACACCTGGTCGATGTTCCGTCCAAGGTTCTATCCTGGGGCCCCTGCCTCCTCTGCATCGGCCCTGAACATCTCTGGGAACCCCAGGTGCACCCCACCCGACCCAGGCCCGGTGGGCAGGGGACATACCAGGGCCCCCTCGAGGGCGAACACAGCTGCAGGCCCCGTCTTCTCCAGCGGCTCCATGCGGCGGCGCCAGCGGCGGCGGCGGAAAGCGTCCGTCTTGCGGTACTCCAGGTGAAACTTCCAGCCGAAGAGCGAGGCGTACTCCCAGCCCTCGCCCTCGGCCTCAGCCTGCCTATGCTGCGAGGGGAGAACAGGGCAGACTCAGAGGCCGCTGGCGGGCCTGCGGGGAGTCCTGGGCTCAGCTCCAGCTGCGCCCTTCCTGCCCTCCACAACTCCCCTCCCACCTCACACCAGCACCCTCTAGATGGGAAAACCTGGGAGAGCTGCCTGGAGGGGGAACCCTCTGAGCAGCTTCTGCAGTGACAAGGACTCTGGGTCAGAACACCAGGAGGGAAAGATTCGCCCTAGGTTGTGGGGAGAACTGAGGAGCCAGGAAGGGAAGGTAGACTGAGGTGGTGATGACTGAGCTTCAGGTTTGTTTTGTTTGTTTGGATTTTGGGTGGATTTCATGAATCCAAGGTTGTCTTATCGTTTCCTTTTGCTTCTTCACATCCCAGCTTCTAAAATGGAAGTGGGTCTGCAGTGCAGAGGCAAAATGAAGATCTCAGTTCCCAGCCCCAGCTTTTCTTCCCCTGACGCTGGGCCTAGGTCAGCTATGGAGGGACCCCCCGCTCTCCCCTTTACTGAGCGTGGAGGGGGGCCTGGAAACCCCTTCCTCTCCAGCTCCTGATAAAGGGTGGCCTGTGACTGCCCCAGATCTGGGCCATGAGCTCAGTGACCAGGGCCAGTCCTAGGGGCCAGCGTCGCACTGTCTAGGAGGGACACTGGTGGTGAGGGAGTGAGGCACAATGCCTGGCGAGCCTTCACCTCTGTCCCCTGGGGCCCCTTCACAGAGAGTGAAGTCTGTCTCCTTCATGGCACCACGAACAGCTTGTTGCCCAAGAGCCTTGCCTTCCCCTGGACCCAGCGACATCTGTCTCCAGATTGTCTGTGCCCAAAGGGAGGAAGGGACATGGGCCCTGCCAAAAGCTACTCCTGCACTGGGGAGACCTGGTTCTTGGGGTACAATTCCATGTGTGCTTGGGAAGGAAGGACACAGACCAGAGGCCGGGGAGGCGGTCTCTGGGGCTGTGCAGACATGGGCATCTGTGGGACTCTAGAACAGGTGTGTGCATATGCAGTGTGAGTGCTGGGTGTGACACTGTGTGTGGTAGGTGTGGGATGTGCATGTGCTGAATGTGATCTATGTGTGTGGGGGGGTGTGATATTGCATGTGTTAGGTGTCATATGTGATCTGTGTGTGTGCTACTTGTGATCTGTGTGTATCTGTGTTTGTGCTGGGTGTGATGTGTGCATGTGCTGAGTGTGATCTGTGAGCATCTCCAGTGAGCTCATGTGCCTTATACATGTCCTTTGTACACCTGTGTGTGTGTGTTCCCAGCTTGCCTTCCCGCACCAAGACCTCACTCCCACCCACCATCCACTGGGCTCACCTTCTTCAGCGCCTCCATCTGGCTGATGTCCCTCCTGCGCAGGCGGACCCAGCGCCGCCGCCGATGGGTGTAGTACATCTTCTCGGCAGGGACCCAGTGCCTCGGCTTCCGGTCCGGGGGGATGGTGATACTGTACTCCCAGCCTGGGGGAGGGGCACCCATCACTCATGGCCCGGCCACTCTCCATCTCTGCAGAGCTATCTCTTCAGGCGGGGCATGCTCACAGACTCACTGGCGGCCACTGACTCCTAGCCGGTAGCTTGCAGGGAGGGCTCACCCAGGAAGTCCCCAGGCCAAGGCGCCCTGCACTCAGCTGTCCTCACCAGCACACCTTGTGAGCTCGCCAGGGTGGGGCTCACCGGGTTCCATGTGCCACCCACCTTGCTCGTCCACGGCCCGATTGAGGTCGGTGGACCACTCTTCATCTTCCCACTTCCAGCCGAGTGGGCACTCGATGTCCTCCTTGGGAAGTACCTTCTCTCCATTCTGGGCAGCAAGGGACAGGCAAGCACGAGGAGAGACGGGCGTGAGCAGGGAGGCTGGGAAGATGCCACTTGACAACATACACTCTCAACGCCCCAGGTGTGACTCAGGTCGAGTCCTACCCGAGCCGGACCTCACACTGTCCCGCTGGTAACCGAAGCACAGAGGCTGGGGACGTCGGAGCAAGAGAGAAAAGGTCCCGCCCTTCTTTGACTCACAGGTCCCTCTCAGGCCCCAATTTACAGGATCTAAGAAAGCGGACCCCTCCTGCCTGGAGCACCCCCTTACCACGTCCGTGTAGTTGTCACTCATGTAGATCCACTGGCCTCCAGGGAGCCGGGTCTGGTTCTCAAACACCTCCTCCACGAAGCTCAGGTGGCCCGCATCAGTGTCATAGAGCAGGCTGTGGGCGGGGGACAGTCAGCGCCTCTGCTGAAGGGACCCCCCCGCCCCCACATCCACCCACAGCCTCCAGCAGAGCAGCCCAGGCCTGGAACAACCTTCCTGCATCAGCCTCACCCCAACCCACAATAAGACAGGCAGAGGGGAGAGAGTGAGGAGGGGTCAGAAGCATGAGGAGAGAGAGAAAGGAGACCAGGAAGACCTAGGGACACTCAAGGGCAGAAGAATACATCGCCCCCAAGAAAGAGAAAGACCAACTGAAGACACCTAAGCCTGGGGGTAGTTGAAGCTCGATAGGTAACTATGGAGATGGGAAATGTTATCAAGCTGTATGCTTAATAGCTGAGTACGTAACTACAATACAAATCATACTTCAATGTTTTTAACGTTTAAAAGAAACAGTTGTTGAATGTCAACCCAGCTGGAAGAGAGGAGAAAGAGACAGATATCAGTGAGGTGGAGAAGGATGATGCTGTTCTGAGAAACACGGAGGAAGAAAGGGCCTCGGGCACGAGGAGCGTTAACGGGGGAGGAGGAAGCGGCTTTCTGTGGTGTCTTAGAGGAAAGGCTGCAACCAACAGGAGCAAAGTCAGATGCGAAGTCTGACGGAGGCCAACTCTGATTTAATAATAAAGAGCCTTCCGGTGGTTAGAGCCCTTCCAGAGACGAATGCTGCTAGTGAGCCCCGGTTCTGGGGGGTTCGGGTGGAGGTCCCTACGACCAGGGCAGAGGTGGGGGGAGCAGGCAGAGGAATGAAAAAGGCCAAGGCCTTTCAGGAAAAGGGCTGAGGCGGAGGGGTCCCCAAGCCCTCCCTACCCACAACTCACGTCTTCTCTGGACACACGAACCAATCTCCAGCCCAGGCCCAGCCGGCCGAGGGGCGGAAGCTGTCCTTGGGTAGCTTGATCTTGCCCGTGACATCAGAAAACTTGGGGTAGGTAAGGCCCGTCGTGCCCCAGTTCCCGACCAGGGCCAGCTTGGTCTGGTTCTCATACTGGAGAGCAAGCAGTAGAGGAGTGAGTGGGTCTGGTGGCAGCTTAGGGGGGGAGGGAGCATGGGGAGGGTGGCAGGTACTCACAGTCTCAGCAAAGACGGAGAGCTTGCCCTCGGCAAACTGGTTGAACTCCTTCTCATCCACAGAGAGCCCGAACCAGAGCTTCACCCGTATCTGCACTGGCATCCGGACTCTGGGCACATCCTCCATCGGATACTGGGTACCAGAGAAGAACAGAAACCCAACTAGAGGAGGCCTATGGGAGTGGGCATACCAGCCTGACACCCCATTAGGTGTGTGCCCTGTCAAAGGACTTATCAGCATTTCATGGAAGAGATGTGTGTGATTTATCAAATACCTTCTCCTCACCTGCCAAGATTCCTTCCCATCAAAGGAGAAGACTGCACCCCACCACCACCACCTACATGCTCTCTACAGAGACCAGCATCCCCCATTCTCTCCTCTCCCGCCTCATCCTCATTTCTGTTCTCTTCTAGGAAGCAGGGTCCAATGTGATGTTCTGCTACAATGTTAATGATTTCTATCTACGTGGCCCAATATGGTAGACACCAGTCCATGTGGCAACTGACCACTTAAACTGTAGCTAGTGTGACTGAAGAACTAAATTTTTAGTTTTATTTCATTTTTTTAATCCTCACCCAAGGATATGTTTTTATTGCTGAGAGAGAGAGAGAGAGAGAGAGAGAGAGAGAGAGAGAATGGGAAAAAGGGAAAGAGAAAGAGAAACAGAGACAGAGAGAGGAGCATTAATGTGAGAGAATCAGGGATCAAACCCACAACCCAGGTATGTGCCCTGACTGGGAATTAAACCCGCAACCTTTTAGTGTCTGGAGCAATGCTCCAACCAACTGAGCCAGCCAGCCAGGGCTTATTTCATTTTCATTAATTTAGATTGAAACAGCACATATGGCCACCATATTGGAGAATGCAGTTCTAGGAAGTCTCTAAAGGAGATACGATGATCCAGGTCTGGAAGGTGAAGAGGTTAAAGCCTCCCCCTTCATTTTCAGTTGGATTTGTTTGTTTGTTTGTTTGTTTGTCTGTTTTTCTGGGGTTTTCTTGGCTGGATGTGAGTGTATCATCTGATACCTCTACCCTTTCAAGTGCTTATCAGCATTGTTAACCACTATTCATTGGTCTTTTTAGCCTGAAACTTTCACAAGCTCTGCCAAAAGGGAATAACCACAGTGTCCCAACACAGGAGATGTATTCTCCCCAACTACTTCACCGTTTGATTGAAATCAGGGTCAGATATGGCCTGCGGGGCAGGAGTGCCTCACCCTTAGAGAAACACATTGCATTGTCCCTTAGAGGAAGGAACGTATTAGTGTCTTGGCTTCATGTACCTGAGCTGGGAGCAGTAACTCCTCTGAGACAGGGTGCAGAATGAGACAAGAAAGTCATTTTGATGGATTGAGAAGGAGAAAGAGAGGCCGGGGTAAGGGGTCTCCCTGATGGAGGAGGCCTGGATGCTGGAGACAGAGCCCGTCCAGGTAAGAGGGTGCGGAAGGGGTGCCCGGCCAAGGCCATGATGCTCTCACCCTTCCCCCAGCCTCTCTGCTAAGGTTCATCCTCAATGAAGCCTGGAGCAGCCCGTGACCCCAAGTGTCACCCCCTGGAAACCTCCCCATGACTGTTCTCTTCAGCTGTCCTCTCCCTGGGGTGGTTAGCAGCCTTTTCCCCTCCAAACCACCAGCCCCAGGGACATGGCAGGAATGCCTGACACCCCCCCTTCCCCCGCCACCCCCAGTCGACCCCCTGGACATGACTGTTCTCTTCAGCTGTCCTCTCCCTGGGGTGGTTAGCAGCCTTTTCCCCTCCAAACCACCAGCCCACCAGCCCCGGCAGGAATGCCTGACACCCCCCCTTCCCCCGCCACCCCCAGTC